TAAATACGTAAAAATTACGGCAATATTCAAATTATCTTAGATAGAAATTCATAAAAGTTTTTCTTTTTAATTCTTTTCTAAGATTTGAAAATTTAATTCAAGGCTCATAATATATTTTTACAATAGCAGTTGAAAAATAAAAGAAATWCATAGTCAMAATTCTTTTTTAAAAGCATTCAAAGTTTGAATTTTGACAATATATGTAAAAAATCACGAAAATTCGCAAATTAATTCAAACTAGAAATTCATAAAAATTTTTCTTTTTAAATCTAAGATTTGAAAATTTTTTATAATCTATAATATATCCTAGACAGATAAGCCGTCTTCGCTCAGAATCGTTTTTCGTATACAATGATATAATATCATTGGATTCAAATTTAATCCCAACCATTACAGTAACCCACTTGTAAACTACTGTACAGCAAAGCGACATCCACAACTTACCCACCTTTTTTTTTTTTGTTAGTCTAAACCAAAAGACTAAGCGCTGAACATCTTTCTGGTAGGTCACATACAACACCAGAAAATTTACAGGTCAGTTGACCTAATTATATTAACTCTTCACTAGAATAAAAAAATATTTTGTACAAGTGTTATTTTTGATGTAGCTCAGGTTTTTGATAAACGTTGGCTCAATTAATAATTTCTATAAAATATTTTACTCTTTTCCCATTGCCATATACATAACTTTTTCAATTATTAAGGCAAATACCTAGGGCACGTTGGGCTGCACACATTAAAAATTAAACATTGTCCCTCATATATGTCATGTGGCTACTGATTTCATTTGACATAGAAAGTAATAAGTATGAAGTAATTAATATAATTATCATTGTTACGCTTCAAATCTAAAAAGTATAATGAGGCAATCTAACTTTATAAAATTATAACACTGATTTCATCTTCGGTCGCCATGGCAACTAAAAGTGAAGTTATTCAAAAAAATACAGAAAATATTTTAAGCTACTGGCCCTCAACATAATGACGTAATAGTAACACTCTTGGTGTCACACAAATTTATAGAATGACCCTAGCCATATACATGTCAAAATGTTGTTACTAAATTATTTATAATCTGAATATTTACTCTAACTTCTTCTATTTGTTCTCCATCTTCAATCATCTCTCGGATTAATAATAATTGATGAAGTTGTTCTTCATCTTCAGCTAACTGCACAAAATTTTAAAATTTTTGATTATATATTAAATTTATATTTATAAATATGAGTAATATAAACTAGCTATTATTACTTTTTCATCTCTTTTTTTAGCATTCATCTCAACTAGTTTTCTAGCCATTTCTCTTCTTTTGTCTCGTTGTTGATCTGGTGTTAAAACAACAGCCATAGAATAAGGAAGTTGAATTCTTTTCACATTGCGATCATAATACTCTGGATCTGACCATTGTTTTAATACATCAGTATAATGAACTGCCAAAAACCCATGTTCATAAAGCAATTCCTTTAATATTATTTTAACAATAGTTAATAAAAATATAGTTAACATGTTTAATTATAGTACATATTGTTTTAAAATACCTCGGCTCGACTTGGTGTTATAGCATTATAATGTGCTGGATATTTAAGCTGTAGAAGTTTGTGTAAGTAATAAGTAATATGATATCCACCAACATCAATTCGACGACTATTAATTAAGTCAGGAGTACCTTTGATTACAGGTATAATATGTGTTGTATGATGTCCACAATTCACAACTAGTCCTGTTTTTTCATTATGACCATTATGTTGGTAACTGAATAGACCGTCAATTCCATAGCAAATGCCAGGTACATGGTAGCATTCAAACAATAATTCTGACATTACTGAAAAACAATATTTAATGTACAATAAATAAGTACCTACTATGTGAAGTAGTTAGAATATTTACAAAGCCGAGAATAATTTGGATTCGCAACTGGTTCCGTTATTATTATTGGATGGTTTATGCTACCGTTACTGTCAATGCCCAAATGTGAAAAGGTGTAGTCAAAAATTTGTTCTTGGACATTAAATTGTGTAATTACATTACGATCAAATTGTGATTTTAACTGAAATCTGACTGCTTCTATGTTTGGTATATCATTCCCTATTAATGTCTCGCCATCCTAAGGAAACATTAAAAAAAAAATTAAAACTGTGTTAACATGAATTTTTAATTTGTTACTTTTTTTCCGCGTTCTTTCCTTGGCCGAGCTAAAATATTTTTAAATATGAGATTTGGGACATTTGACGTTGCCCAACCAGCTTTACAAGTAAACGAACCTAATTAAATAAACTGGTGTTTATTACAAACAAATATGTTACAATTTATAGCAAATTTGTATGATAAATATAGCTACCATTATCTATGACTATGGCTGTATTGGAATTTCGTAAAGTTTGTGTATAATCGTAATATTTATCTGGAACTAGTTTGAGGTCCTTAAGTATAATGACTTCTTCTGCCATATTAAATAAATAATAATGCAAGCATTAATTATTTAATGTAACTTAAATAAATAATAAGAAAAAAATTGTATAACGAAACAACCTAAATTAATAATTTACATTTTTGAAATAATATTGTACCTAATCTACCTAAAAATTATTAATTATCAATCATTAATGAATATTAAATTTAAGATATAAGTGACGAGATGAGTTCACCGGTTTTCAATTTTTGTAAAAAATATTTTAAAATTTTTATCTGAGTAAAAATAATTTGATAATGCTAACAACAGTGTTGACAACATTTCAAAATGCTACTTAGTTGTAATTATTAATTATTATTTCTGTTATTAGTTTATTAGTAAGAACCTTGTTTGGAGTGTTCAAAAAAATTACATATTATATTTGAATTGTTCGATAAATAACTCAACAGTGGCGTAATTTGCCCATGTTTGTGGGGGGATAAAATATTTTAACATTTTATCTATAACCCCCCCTCCCATAAAAAAAATAAAAATAATGTATTATAAGCATCTTTCAGAATTCAGAGCAATATATTTATGTACACATGAGACATGGAATACATTCCGATAAAGTGTACAAATCGATAAGTTATTTTTAGTTCAATAGGACTACGGAAAAATATTAGGATAGGATAAGATAGGACAGATATGACAATAGTCTTTCGATCGTCGTCG